GATTATTCAGGCCATAGAGATATCTCTTAAAATTGCAAATGAAAAAATCCTATTGAATCTGTAAGAATGGTAAGACACTAACGAGCTTGATGTACACAAAACTAAAGAGGAAAGTACACATTGACGAGTGTTGTAACAGCAATGAATCACCTCCAATCACTGTGTTTATGCGCAACCTACTAACACTTCTAAAACAGACAGATACCCTCCTAGTCGCCGTAAATAATGCTAGAGGAATATCACGTTCAAATTTGCACGTCGCATACAGCTAATATCATGAGCAAATACAAATGTACCGATCGATTCTAATGTAGGATGGTGTATTGTTTTCTTAACAAGAAGATTCAATCAAGGCTTGAGAAAATTGCACCAAGCGAGCGAGCTAATCTAACCATTCAAGAGACTTAATACGCCCTACAGTCGTCTTCCGACCCACCCATCTACAAAGCACCGCTACGGACCTATTTCGTATAGAAAACACATCATGATAATTAGCCGCTAAATCACGAAAAAGATGCAATTATAGCCCGGCCGTGTATCCGGAAACACTACCCTTATCATATCGCAGTTCTATTTTWAAATTTTGGCCAGCTGTAACGAAAAGGCTGGAGTAACACCTTAACTCGTCCCCTGTAGATCTACCTAGGTATCGTGGGGTTTAAGCATTATATGTGAGGGTTATTTTTTAGTGTTAAATCAATCCGGATACTCGAGTTTTACTGTTCAATGGGTAGGAAATTGACTTAATTTCCTCGTCGTGTCTTGCTGGGTGCAAATGCTTGTTCAGGCTTACTTTTTGCTGCGTAAATATTACCGACTCCGTAGGGTGCAAGATACTTTGGTACCTTTAAGAGATGACCCTTTTAATATGGTGTTAAGATAATGCATTCAACCTTTTAGTTTAAGGGAACGATATTGCAAAAATTGAATAGATGTCCAGATGTTGAACAGCCAAGTGAAGTTCAGAGTGAAATTTCTTCTGATTTTCTGGAGCTCTGCTTGCAATTAGAAGCGTCCGACAAAAGGGAGATCGCTTCAAAGTTATGTCATCCAGCTGTGAGGCGTTGTAAAAACCTTGGATGGCGATAAGAAAGTTCGGAAGATCAGTTTGGCTTGTTTTAGTGTTGAATTGTTTCAGATTATCTTTATATGCTTAGTAGTATACAACAGATGTATCATGTCTTTGTCTATTTGTCTTGGCAATGCTCTTTGCATCTGCTTGAGAGAACGAGCTCGGTAGTGGTCTCACCCCTTTCAGACGAAGAAATACATCAAATGCTGTCCCTTCCGAGAGACCCTATATCTGCCTAGCAAGGAAGAATAAGACGCTCTCTTTCTGGCGACAATCACTAATTTGTTATTTAACAGCATTCTTAGGATTTTTAGAGTCGGCTAGATAATTATTGTAATAACTATAAAAATCTGAGTAAATCAAATGATGACAGTGATGAGCTCACTTGAGAATTTTTTTTCTGTCATCTCGTACCTCAATATTAGTGAGAGGGCACGACTTATTATACCCAAGCTATTGATAAGACACTTGCGTAGCAAATATCTTTGAGCATTTGGGAATAAAAGCTTTAGATTTAAGCCTCATATGATACTTAAAGTTATGTATATAAGAACGAGTTGATATGGTAATAATTTAGTTTTATGTGTTTTTTTATTAGTTTTTACTCTAATATATGTCACTAACGAGGTATTTGGCGGCTATCGTAAATAAATGAAAACTGCATTGATCTTCAAACTTCTCCAAGCCAGAACTATGCTATTATTGTGGAAAAAAAGGAGAAACCTTTAGTGCGGTTGTGTCAAAGTTATAACGAGAATTACCTAGATATTGAATGGCAATAGAAGTAATCTCTGAACTGAATGGTGATCATGATCTTAGCTTTGTGCTGACTGCTGAAGAAATTTTTTTTTCTTGTTTACGATGCTCGTTGAAGGTTGTTATGAATCAGAACATTAAGGGCTGTTGTTTAGCTCTTCTAAGTGCTTAGGACATTAGTTTGAGGATAAAAGGCTACAAACAACAGCATTCATCTATTAATCGCTTTGACTATTTTTTTCCCACATCATCTGTCTAATGTACAACCTTCCAAACAGGAATACTGGTACAGAAAAATACCCTCGGGCGACTAACAACTCGAAGTTAGAAAGTATAAAGTTGAATGTTTAAAGATAAAACATCTTTTCTATCTTTTCTAAGTCTATAACCATTCATCTAGTTTATACTTATCGTGGAGCGCGTTTAAGTCATTAAATAAGCTCTGTATAATTTCATAAGAATAAAAATTACTTTCCTTACATTTAACGATAACTTTAACAGCAAAAAATTAAAAAGGGATACGTCGTAAATTTCCTTAGGATCCCCTTTTAATCTGTGTTTAATGTGAAAAGCTATTTTCTTTTTGTATTGTTTAGACTTGGCTGTCGGCGTTCGTATGTTTGTATATGAAGTGAATATAGCTCCTCGTATAACCATTTGCTCTTTGTTAGACCTGAATGACAGTAAATGTTTTGTTTGATTCGGTCCTCTTACTGACAAAAAGAGTCATCTTCAGTTTCATAAAGCAGCGCGAGTAATCAAAAAAAAAAATCTTGTTATTTATTTAACATTTCAAAATATAAAAGGTTGGGAATATTCATTTGAAATGTGAATGAGTACGTCAATGGATAATACGTAAATTATTTGATTTATAGGGAAAACAAAGGCCAATCGATTTATTTAATTTTCATTCTGCGTTGATCCGATATCGGTTGTACGAAATTGYGCGTCAAAATCTTTATCTCACTTCGTTTCTTTGTAAGAATTTCTCTACCATCGAAACTTTAAATTCTTGCGCAAATCAATGGGGGTTCTCTAAGACCTCCTATAGTTCTGTACTATTTCTCTGAGCATAAAAACAAATCTAACTTTCATGCCAAGCCTAGCAGATTTCATTGTCCAAGCTAATCACGTCGATTTCAGGAACAATACCTGTATCTTGAAACCATCGCCTTTTCGATGCGGATAAATTATCCTAATTACCGTTAAGAGATCTAACTCTTTAGACGGTTATAACAATTTAGGTTTTGCGCCAGTCCCTAGAGTTTAGTTTAGTTTTCTCTCTATGGGGCGTTCGGAGATTTCTAGTAGTCATAAAATTGGGGATTTCGAGTTATCCCAAATATTCAGTCTGAGTAAACAGGCGGAACGCCGGCAGCTTTTCGGCTGAAGCGGTTTCCCTGTCATCTTAAATTTTGAAGCCACAGAGATTTATGAAAAAGCGAAGAGGGTGAGCGACAATATGAAAAATATAATTATACAAAAGCCTCGGGAGTCCGATTGACAAAGTCTAATTACGTCCAAAACACCGGTACGCGTCTTTGTCTTGGGAGTCCACAAACGCAATAGAGTTATCTAACCGATAGCACCACTGGTATGTTTTGATAGCTTTGATTGAAAAATTGTCATGCTTAGCAAAACAAAAAAAAGTAAATGACAAACAGAAGTAAAAAACTCCATTTTTTTCGTTATGATATTGGTGAATTTTGACCTGGGTATGAATTTTGAAAAATTAAAAAAAAATTTTAAACTAAAAAATATTTGGCTTTTCTGCGCTTTTGGATTGGAGGTGACTTTTCACAGAATTTTGCGTGATTTCCTGTAGTGGGAAATAAAATTCATTTTCTTTCTTTCCCATCCATTTTGCATTGAATTCACAAGTAACACAATTGTCAAGAAGTCGTTAAGACACTTTAAGTAAAGAAAAAGATAGTAATAATATTAAAGTCTTCGAATATTCGCGACAAATGGGTTTCCAGCTGTAAACCAGGAAATTTCGAGTCCACAGGGACAGGTGCTAGTGGCTCTGAGTCGAGTTCTTGTGATAACATAGTCATGACAAGACAAACCTTAATGGGGCAATGGAATCATGGCCAATTTCACCACCAATTAACTACAAGCAGCGTAAAGGACGACACTGGCTGAGTCAGATTTTTTTACTAGGATCATAATACTTTAATTATTTTTTGTTTCCAGTAAACAATTTACCAGAGATTGTCGTTACTTAGTTCAATCTTAAATAAGTACTTATAAATGTGGTTTATCTATGCTTTTCTCGCCTTGTCTCCGTCCTTCGAGTCCACTTATACAAACCCTTTCAAGATGAGCGTGCAGGTCAAGAACGGTAACCATTGAAGAGCTAGCTAATTAGAATTTCCAATCGGCCGCATTTTCGGCGATTCATTGAATGTGTTTTTAATAAGCTAGGCTATTGTGTACATACAAAAAATACGAGGACAACGGTTTGCGAGGATCGTGACAGAAGATGTTTTCCGACGACCTCTAAAGTTACTCCTTAACAATATAAAGACCTCAATTCTTTGATCAATCATAGAAAAGAGAGAAAAGTTCATTTATAAATGATTAAGTACCTTCAAAAGTGAAAACTGAGTCGATTGGCGTCCCTTCTAAGGCTGCCGGCAAAATCGCTTCTCAAAACAAAGACTAAATTAAGGCGACAAAGCCAGCTCTTGTTGTGTATTGCTGATAAAATAATAAATTGTTCGGCCCTACTCGCTTAAAATCTTCTTAAGTGGCTCGCTTTTGAAGTCCCTTTTCCTAATGTCCAAATAAATACAATTTAACAGCGAAGCATATGTACAAATTTCTTTTCTGTGGTGTGAAAGCGATTAAAGAGTAAAGTATACAAATATACTATTAAAACCGGAAAATGTGCTGATGGTATTCGCGATTTTATCGTTTATAAGAAATCAGATACTCGCAACTCTAACTTAGGAGGATGTTGTCAAAGAGTTACAAACATGGCAGCTGAGATAGTGCAAAAAGTTACGAGAAAGTAAAAATAACAAAAAAATCCTAGAGCACCGAAAATCATACTCGCCGAACCGTTACATCAACCTAATTAAAATACACGATAGCTTGAAGTCTATTTTTTTCTCATTTAGGAAGCTCTTTAAAGATTTTCAGTCAACAGTTTAAGAAGGGAACATACCTGGACCCTGGATTCTGTTAGCCCGATCCGAGCAGCTAGTTCCTCGCGCATGAAAACGTCGGGATAATGCGTCCTCGCGAAACACCTTTCAAGTTCATTCAGTTGAGCCGGGGTGAATCTTGTTCGGTGTCGTTTCTGTTTTACTGCCTGGCTGTCAGTAGATTTACGATCATCTTCTAAATCAGGTGTATCAAGGTTTGTCTTCTTTTGAGACTCAGTCGGGGACCTCTTTCCTTCAACGATGACAGTCTTGGAATTATCTGCGAAGAATAAACCATGATCTCAATTAGAACTTATAACCATCTATATCATTAGAAAAATTTATTTTATAACTCCAAGTTAATGTGACTGATCAGGGTAAAAATGTCTTCAATTTACAATTTGTTACTCTAACAAGATATTACCAGTATTGTGATCATTTAACTCTCCGTTGTGGTTGAGAATACCAACAATAGAATGCTCTAAGCTTGGCACAAGCTCCAAAAGAGAATTGGAGGAATTGTCTTCATGGGAATCTAAGTTGGAGTTTCTAGCTGGACGGTGTGTACTGTTCGAGAGCTCCATAACTAATCTTCTGATCCAGCCACAATTTCGGTCCTCTTTGTGGAAGTGCTTATTACTCCGGATTTAATGTCTATAGGCCGCTCGAGCCAATCAGAGCGCGACTTGGTGCTATTTTCTAATAAAATTATGTCAGGTGTCAATGCCGGATCAAAAAGCATGTAAGCAAATCACTCTATATTAATATTTAATTGCTCTAATTGAACATGAGAGCATTGCAGATCATGTGTTCTCCCTATTATTCCTCTCCCTCCGAGCTGGGGCCAGTAGGACGAAGTATGCAATCAAAGTGTGTCTTGGTTTTTGCGAAGATGGAAGTAGCCTGCGGAGTAAATCTCTAAGATAGCTCAGCTCAGGTGTATACTATGTTGTACTAACTGCAATTCTTGTTAATTAATAAGCATTTGTTTGAGAAGAAGTATTTTGGCTTCCAAATAATTGGTCAAATAGGCCATGATTAAACCAAACTGAACCTTCATTAGCATCATTAATAATATATTAATCATGTATTAAATCGATAGCGCTTTTTGACACCAATACGAGGCTGATCTGGGGCCCAAAATGGACGTTTCAAATACGACAAACCGACGACAAACTAATAGCACTTTATTTTCTTATTCAAACACTACCAGAGACAAATATTAGAAATTAGAAGTTCTTTGATTGCTGGGAAACCTAAAGCTTCCCCTTCTTGAGTTGCCTCCTTCTCTTTGAATGAAGGCACGCGAGGCCTTTTGTGATAACAATTATGTTTTGAGCAGACACAGAGCACTACAATAGCAGGTTCTCGTGTGCGCAGTGAGCTATGACACTGGATAATTTAAGAACCAATTCTTTGTGTTTTTCCTACAGTGCTTCAACTTATTGTCCCACTTGGCTAATTAGCCCAAGAAATGTTTAATTTTTTTCTATTGTTCTATCGGAAAACTAACATTTTCATTTAGTTGTAAGATAATAACCGTGACCTGTCAAGACTAACTTTTGATTTTTTTTCCCGTATTCTAATCGTTTCATTCAATGCTTGTCTGTAAACTTATTGAAGCCCAACATAGTTAGTCGAATAGAACACAAAAGATATAATCTTCTTCTAAACGACAGAACATATAAACTTGGGGATCTTTTTTTCACCGCACAATTAGAAGTGTACTATAACTATGCATGAGGTTCAGGAAAGATTGTGGTTTTGGGGATTGCAATGTATTTACAAGACAAGGCAATCCGTCATTCGTCCTTCTTGGTTTCCCCGCAGCCTCGAGGCATGAATATTTTCATTTCTCTCACTCTCTGGCTCTCTTCCTGTTAGTTCTTGAATTCCCTCTCGTAACCACAAAGAGACGTTTTCGTAGCCCTTAGAAAAGTTTTAATAGGCGCAATGAAAGACTTAAAAGATACCAATGAGTTGCGCACACTAAGGGAAATGGAAGGAAATCCTTGYGTAAACTTTCACAACGGATTATTGTACAGGTTTCTTTAATATTATGACAGTAGAGTTATAAAGAGAGATTTGGGAGTCTTGGGGCAGCTGCGGTCGACCCCCTGTGAATGATTAGCTTCAAATTAATCAAATTGTCTAAATTGTAGAATTAAGCATTGTTAGTTATATTCACTAGTATTTTGTACTCCATATAACGAGTTTATGAATTTTACGAAAAGTACACGACCTAAAGAATAATACTTCTCAGTTATTTGACTTTTAGTATTGTTCAATTGTAAACCAGGTTAAGAGATGTTTCATTGCTTTTTTGCTAAAGAGAGATGAGAATTCCTTTTAATAATTTTGCAAATGAACCTTTAGAAAACCAATTTGTCTTTTTATTCTTTTCGATAAGTTCTACCTTATGAAAACACAAGGCTAATTTACTTCGAGACAAAAATACGGAAAAATAGACTTCCCTTATATTAGTTTTTGCAAAATTTCGTGATTTTCAAAAAAACAATCACTGAAGGGGTTTTCATTCAAACCTTCAGCGTAATCGCTCACAGAGTATGTTCAACCACCAGTCTCTCTAATTGTCTGATTTTGAGAGGTAAATTTGACATTGTCTACCGCAATGTGGGTAGGATTTTGGATCTGCGAACCCTCAGAAATAAATATTGAACACCAACTAAAACCCGCGCGCAGATAAGAGAACATTTTTATTTCTTCTTGAGTGCTTTTCAGAACTAAAACGTGCGTTCTTTGCCAGTACAAGAAGAGGCAAGTTTCAGTAATTATTTCAGTCTTTATAGCAATGTAATCAACCCCTCGCTATCTCAGGCCCTACTTTTTAATTATGAACAAGGCCGTCTTTTCTGAGTATTCTCTAGCCCGAAGGTGTTATGACCGCTTCCATTGATTCGCAAGGAATCTCATTATCCTGCTGTACGTGTAGCTGCTCGAACTAATCAATAATTAATTATTTCTAAATTTATAAATGACGATTATCTTGCTTTACAATGACGATAATGCTACCGCGTGTGTGCGGACGACTTTAATGAAACAGATCAAAGACCCTCAAGAGATCACACGCTGCCTTTATGGAGGAGACGAGAAGTGAATCTTGTACAATAATTAAGAATTGTAAAACATTAAAGAGTATATACACGAGTATGTTAGTACGCGCGATCTCTTTCGAGAGCTAGCTAATTTCCAAGTTGAGCCTAACTGACGAGAAATTGATATTAGTGAATTCAATTGAGTTAATTGACAGTTCTGCTGCTGTAAAAAAAGTAACGCAGAGTTCATCAACTATGTGTTATTTTTACCCTTCTTTCACATTCAACAAATCATCGAATCACCTTACCGACGACATTTTGTTGACCAAGACTCATATCTTGGACTTTGCAAACAAACCTGAGGACCTATTGTTGACACAAAAGTATAGAAAAAACAATGATATTGGAATGAGATTACGGTGGTTCCTTTGTAATTCTTACCATGACGTACACTACTAGGTTATCCATAAAGTCTAGAGAGGTAGCCAACGAGCCGAGAATACTCTTTAAATACAGTGGCGCCGCTAAGGTTTCTTTTTCTGTCACCTTTTAGAAACGTGTCTTCATTGTACTCGTTGTTTTCATAGACCTGAATTTTGTATGTACTTAGCACTGATAAATATTATCGGTTGAATATAATTAACTCGAGAAAACACTGACAAAATGGGTTTAAACGATCTAAAGTAGGAACTCGAAATATGGTAATTGTCGAGTTGGGTATTGGAATTCTATCTTTCGTTAGTTGTCTTAGATAAGTATAACAATTCCACCATGTTTCTACCTAAGAAAGACAAACAATCCCTACCTAACTCAAATAAGCTGTACACATTAAGAGTAATCAATCAATTCAATAGGGTGCGTTTAAAAAAGTAGCTTTGGTTTAGATTCTGGAAACGGCTATTCTGATCTTTTAAAAATGTTTATAATTAAAAAAACGAATAAAAAACTTTGATAGTAGTTGGAATATCAGTGATGATAAATTTTAAAAGGAAAAACTAAAGAGAGAAAAATATTACAAATTCACTTCTCTGTTGGAATGTCTACTTTATCTCAGCAAGAAACTTATGAGAATAATGAAATATAGGTAAAAATTATGGTTGGAGTTGTGATATTATTTTTAATATGAAAGGTATTGCTATTGAATGTTATGATCTATTTCTTGTCCACAATAGCGTTTAGTGAACCAAATATTCGCCCGCAAATTACCTGCAAATCTATTGTGAAATCAATTCCAAAAACTCTGTTAGCAAATTTAGATTTCATACAGAGCTGGAGCCGAAACGCGAAAAACTAAGAAGGCACAAAACATTAAATTTGTTTCAATTTTTCTCGAGTTACTGAAAACATAGCGCTTCTTTAACCAAGACAGTTGGTATACCCCTTCAGTGCTAGACAACTAACATCAAGTTGTTTGAGTCCTGTATCGTAATTTCTCTTTCTGAGGCTAAGACCAATGTCTAAATGTCTCTCTAGAAATAAAGGTTTAATGAAACTAAATGATTCTAATTTTCAAACATGTATTTAATTCTGAGTTGAGGATTTTTGAGCTCAATTGTCTGATGAATATAGAACCCAAGTTGGAAAGCAAAAATACCGAAATATAACAAAAGTCATAAAAAACGTTTAAGAGAATTTGGATACGAAAGATGGTCGGGAAAACTAGGTAGTCTTAGACTATTGGTCTCGCCTTTACTAGTAGATTATCATTGTCATTGAGTATAGGGAATCAGGTCTTTCCTAACGAACACAAAGCGACTAAAAGTAGTGATTTACAACTTGGCAATGTGATACCTATTATCCCAATCTGTGCTCTATTAGAGTTAGTAAAATACCCTATAGTATATCTAAACGAACTAAATAGACTTTAGAGGTTATCACGGACATTACTAAACTGCATCCTATTCTTCGCTAATTCCTTTTTTTATATTCGCAATTTCTCTTTTCCTCGACTTGTCATGTCATATATTAATATATGGTCAGAGAATCAAGCGTTTTAATCGTTATTTTGGGCTGCGTTGCGCTATGTCCAAATACAATCATTAATCCTCTCTATAGTCGTCTACGACCTTGGAAACTAAAGACCCTACTATTGTTCTGATATCGAACTAACTAACGATTATTAGGAAGTAAATTCCATGTGGACTGAACCAGCTACGGATGGATGAATATGAAAACTCAACTTAGATCTGAATTCCAGTSCCGTTTTATGGATTTGCTTTGATCTAAAACATCTGGATTTCTCTGAGTTTAACTGGAAAACATATGGATACAGACATGTTGGAGATAACAGCTTTCTTTAGCGGAACCGAGGAAGGATTTTGCTACAATGTACTTCGTTATCTCTTTCATCCAGTCACCTGCTGCACTGACTGCGAATCTTTCGGTTGGCGACGTTTAGAAGAAGCACGCAAACTCAAATTCTGACGCTGTAATCTTACGCATTGGAGAATTATTGAATTTGGTCATAAGCGAACGAATCAATGGAATTCTTGATTGTATAGGAAGAAAGAAGTGAAGTGAGATTTTAAAGTTGGAATTCAGTTCTTTTTTCAAAATTTCGTAACAGTGTACACACCCACTCTTATACTCCGGGGAAGATTCCCTACGACTTACAAAGGGTTGATAGAACTGTGATATGATGGATAAAATGTTTAAAAACCAGCTCAGACTTTCCTCAGTTTTGTCTCTACGAATTTCTGTTTATACAACTCTTTAAGAAAGAAAAGTAACTTGATCTCAGAAAGGGCATTTTTATGATTATGGAAGTACTTAAGATAGATTTCTAGTATTGTGTGGACTTAATTCATCGAAGTAAGCCACTCCAAAAAGAAGATACATTATAAAGACGCATTTCTAAGGCTTCGAAGGTTAGATTACACCGTGGAAGAGAATTACTACTGAACATAATTACAATAAAGAAACGAACTGCACACAGCATGATAGATATCTCACGTCTTGCAGGTGTGCTACTCAAACGCTCTCATGTAATGTGTGCGTAATTTATGCAAGAAGACGAAAAGCTCAGCAAAGTCTTATAAAATACGACTGAAAATATACTCCTGTGTGTAGTCAAACGGAGGTCGATTTTCTGTGGGTTTTTTAGTCTCCATTTCATGTCTTGTTAAGTTTTGTGCGAAGCGATAGGCCAGGATAAAAACACACTTATTTTTCATTTCATATGATTACAGCTTTTGACCTTAAATTAGCTTTTCTTTTATTATACTCTGTTTGTTATAAAACGTTTGAACCAACCTCACAGCAAGAAGTACTTCAACTGCCTCGATTTCTTGCTTGCTGGTTACATCTATACAATTCTCATTCAAATCTTTTGTTTTTGAAGAGAAAAGGATTTTGACTTCCAAGAATGCAACACAAGGCATTGCTTTTAAAAGCGATTGGAATCTAATGCCCTTTTATTCAGGAAAATTCTTATTTTTAAGTGTTTTCACTTTCTCAACGCGATATGATGCTGCGCAAAATGTAAATAAACTCGTTTACCATCTGCTTGTGGTATCTTTGGTATTTTTTAATTTCGAAATCTAGTGGATATGGAGTTCGTTAAGTGTATGCCAGGTGAAAAACAAGGGTACTTTATCATGAGCTTTCCATTTTGTCGGTAATCAAAATGCATGCTTGTACTTCGTTTTTAGATTGATATGATGTCCAAGCTTGGGAGATTTCATTTCTTAGATCTCAGAGTTGATAATATAAACACATTTCTTCTCTAAGAAAATTGATATTTGATGAATAGATTTTGAAAATTTTGAACTTTTTCAAAAGCAAAATTCCTCAGGATTACGTGGTAATCTTAGTGAAACACTTACTTGTTCTACGTAACAAATATCAAAATCCCGTATACACTATTTTAGGTTACCAAATGATATGATGTGTGATGGTCAAAGTATTTTTTAACTACGTTTTAAATGCAATTAAAAATTCAACTCCCAAAATTATAAAACACTGAATGTAGTAATTTTTTTGGGTCAAAAATACCACGAAAAGCAAATTAAGAACTTTCGGCAATACTTCTCACGTTCGTACAACATTTAAATAAAGTAAAAGAATGTGCGTTGCGATGATCCTTTTTTCGAAAGTAATCTAAATTCATATAAAATTGTGAAAAATAATTTTCTTCAAATGATGATAAAAATAATTTAAAAAAATAATTCGTTATATTTATATCTATTTTTTTCAGTTTTTCTTCTTTATTTCCTTTTTGACTGGGAGCAAAAACTGCAAGTTACGGAAGAACCTTCCATTCATTCCCCCTTTACATTGAGTTGTCTTTGTTATTTTTAAGTCGAAACGACCCTGGAAAGTCAGTGAGTTGTCTACCATTAACGTAATGCCATAACAGCGGGAGTTTTGTACAGAGTTTATAAAACCAGATCGCTCTATTTTAGTAAATTCACTTTGTGTAATCAGTATATCTTTTAAAATTTAAATACGACTCTCTTTCAAGTATCTCTGCTTTAGCGACGACAATTGTAAGATATTTAAGAATGAGGACAGATTTGTGTTTACAAACTAGGACGTAACTGTTTCAATTTAAAAACAAACTACATTTACAACAAGTTATCGCCTAAGAAGCTCTAATTCAAATGAGAGTACTCAAGCAATCTTCCAGTGATTCTATTCTACAAATGAGGCGATCTTTAGATAAAGCGTTCAAACAATCAAATTTTCAGTTATCAAAGCTTAAAGAAAAATTACTCATTTATTGAGAATTTAATATAACTTTATAGGAGTTAAAATGATAGGTATTGTCTTAGTTTAGTCTTAAATAAAAGAAAGGAAAAGAATACTTACAAAGAGACTCCATCGTTGTTCAATCTTCTGGTTTTCTTCACAACTTGCTGAAAATCGAAGGAAAGGAAAAATATGTTTTCGCGCCAAAATCACTTTTCCGAAGACGCGCCTGCCCGCTTCGTCCAGAGCCGATGTCAAGACGGAATTACTTAGCCGATTTTTTAGTTTATTGAATCTAAAATGATCGGGTCAAATCTTACGGAAGGAATAACTCTTCTCTTCTCGTTAGGTGAATTGTCCAGAATTCACAACTCTAAATAAGAATATTAAATTATCGAATGGAAAAGAGAAGTTGAGAGCTCTTTGCGGATCAATACAAATGAACCCTAATTGAATACCCAAAGATTGGGTAGATATATAAGGAAAAACTTAAGCTACTTATCATTTGCTTTACCCTTATTTGACGACTAAAGACTGGTTGAAGATTTTTTCTGGACAACCGTGGCGCTAAATTAATATTTTGTAATGTAATGCTTTGCCACAAATACCTTGTTTAGAAAATAGAGCGTTATGACTAAATAGACAATGACAGTGTGCAAATACTATTACAGATTAAGAAACATTCATTAGTCATCATATTTTTTGAATTTTGCAATTCTTTTCCCAAAAAAATTAAAGCTATTTTAGCGTAGAAATAAATGATATTTGAAGTTATGTTTCCATTGTTTTGTTGATACCAAAATATTGTATTTTTTTCTTTTAATTCGCTTTAAAAGTTAAGCTTTTTAAGTATTTTTTTGGTGAACATTTTACCGAGTTAAAATTATTTTTCTGTTTTAGATGAAAATATATTTCATTATCTTGAAAGTCACATGATATTTATTTATTCTTTTATTTTATTCTCTTATTTATTGTTTTAATGCGCAAAAAGAAATTTGTATTATAACATGGTTCTTTTTAACCTAACAGACTTCCCTTTGGCTCTTTGGCTTCCTAGCAAGTAATTAACATTATAAAGTGGGTACATAGTTTTCCTGTCGGTCGGTAGTCAGCGGTTTTRACCAGTGTTTCTAATATCTGTAATGTTTTATAAAAATTATCACGAAGAAATTCAATGTAAAAACAGTAAAATTTTGCTGACTTCTAAAAAAACTGGTCTTTTGATTTCAAAAGAACACATCAAATACAAACATCATCGCAAAAAAGAGAAATAAAATCATCGGTGTTGTGTGTTAGTGCGTGCCGGAAACTAACGGGACCTTCTTTACAAAAAATTGGTCTTCACTGAGCTCTCTCAGCTTTCTCCCTTTTTTCTCTTTCTTTTCTAACTTTCTGCACTCCTATTTTTATCGAAATAAATGTTATAAAAGGATGACAAAAATGGAGTATGACAGTGAATTTATATAATTAGAAGCTTTGCAACTTAATTTTTCAAAAATAATGCGATAAATTTATGAAATTAAGCTAGAAAACGGAGTATTATGAAGTGCTGATTGTGCACTGCTACTGCTACTTCTCCTTTTGCTGGTGGTGGTATTGCTGCTGCTACCGTACTTCTGCTGCTATCTTTATTGCTCGTGCTGCTGCTGTGTTTACTGGCTGTTATTTTTAATACTACTACTGCTTTTGCTGCTGCTGCTGCTCTGCTGCCTACTACTACTACTAGCTACTACTACCGATATGACACGCCCAATAAACATAAAATAGAAAATGAAAGAAAAACCAACGAAAGCAACAGCAAAAGCTAGCAAAAAATAAATAAAATAAAAATAAAATAGATAAAAATTACTTAGCGGACAGCATACTTTTATTACCATTCTATTCTCTTATTTTCTTATTTCAATTTTTCAAGAATTAATACGAAATCTACAAGAGTTCAACATAAAATCTATAAAATGATCTACCTAATAAACATTAAGACTTAACTGCGACTGAATCATTGTTATATGTCGTGCTGTGCTTTTGTTCCACTAATACAAAAAAATCTTCATTTTAGTCTATCAAAAACGAGATAAAAATGTAAAAAGCGATAATTTTATTTAGGATCGTAATTACTGATATAGACTCACACTCAMCGCTCAATTTGATTCATCCTCTCCTAGAGTCTTTGCACATGAAGTTCCAACGAAATGATTAAGGTGAAAATTAAAGGCCATGATTAGTGTCGTTCATCAGTTACTAGCTTGATCGCTACGATAACTCACTCTAAAACTTCCATTGATTTGATTTTATGAAATAACTTTATTATCTATAATCATTGTACAATTTGAACCTGTACATTGCAATCTATCATTCCGGAATACTAGAGATTTATATCAAGTTACAGTCCTTTTCATTCCGAATAAAAACCAGAGCTACTTTTGAAGTATGTTTAATTCGAGTTTGGTCTTGAAGCGGCTGCCACATTTTTTCACGCGCTCCAAAGGTCCCGGATGTTCAACCGAAAAAAAGTGAGTACACTGAAGTCAAACATTCTGCGAATCTTTTTTAAAACCTGGATAAAACTGTGGGAAAAAAGACTTTTCTTTTTCTCAAAGGCGACAAAATGAACTTTCATGAACATTTTTAATGTCGGAAACCTTGTCAAAAATGGAAGACGCACTTAAGTCTAATTTTTCGTGCAACCAAAATATTTTCACACGTAATAGCCAGTGCATTTTTTACTGCAAAAATTTGCGAATATTTAATTTTTGACAAACCACAATGAAAAATGGAGTGTGTAGCTCATTTACTTTAAAAACCAAGGCCCTCAATAAATGAAATGGTATTTTAACTCACATTTAGAACAATTACTCGCCCCGACGATATGTCTGAGACGAATAAATGGTTGAAAAATAAAGTCTTAGCCGTGAAATGTGGGCGAGAAACCGCAAACTACTCTTGATCGGCTTTAGCAATTCTGTTTTCATCACTTCTAGTATCCTAAATGCTTTCTCAGACGAATATTTAGGGCTAAAGTAGAACAAACATCACGCATTTCTTTTCTTGTAAGAAAAAGAAAGCTAACAATATGTGGTGGTGTTTTAGTTTAAGTAATGCTTTGTTTTTAAGCGTGTTGTCGTGTTGATCACAGTATTGTAAGCTAATAAATCTCCTGTTGTGTCGGTCAACTACAAAACTGTCAACCCCGATAACTCTTTCCATTTTTACAGACATTTGTATAATCGTCTTGCTGTCTCTTGGCTGGAGACGGATAGATAAAGAAATCGACAGCACTTCACACCAAACGCATTATCTTGCACTTTACTTTTGTTCAAAAGCGCGTTATTTTTTCCCATTTTCTCACCCAATTTCAACTCAGTCATCGCACTATAACAGAAATCAGACATTGCCTCTCCACACTCAAACTTCAAATAACGTGATTCATCTTTTGGTTTCATCGCCAGAAAAAAGTAAATATTCCGAATTTTCAGGGATTTTTTTTCTTGCGTAAAATGAATGACATTTTCAGTTACACGCATCAGTGACCAGTCGTGGTCTGACCAATTACATGAAGGTCATAATCTTATTAATATTTCCAAGATCAGTCAAAATATTTCTACGAGAGATATTATCCGATTCGATCTTATATAATTTGTTATGCATTATTCTTGTTGTTAAGAACATAAGATCTGTTCTTGCCTCACTCGTGGTCGCCTCTCTACAGACATAAATAAATATCAGCCGGCGTAGGTCATTGAGAAAAACAAGACAGAAAATGAAAAATCTTTATAAAARTAAAATGGTCGCCTACGACTCAAGCCAATAAGAAAAAGACTTTCATGAGACGTATTAACAGAGAAATGTAATGTAAAAAATCGTGATTTTTGTTGAGAAAGAAAAGAGACAAAAGCTTTGAATAATCATAATTTAGGAAAGTTGCAAAAATTATAAATCGATTCACGTGCAAAATTATAAATTATTAGTATGCAAAGGAAAGATCCCGAAGACTTCTTTTAAAGTCGTTCCATTCAGATGGAATCGCATACTTTTGAAAACGTTTTAAAATATTTTTGTTGTTTTTATTAATTTATTTGTTTTTCTTCATATTCCAAAAGAACATAAATAATTTTTAAAAAATTTCAATATTTTTTTCAATTCAGTAAGTACATTTAAATCTTTTTTTCGTTTTTATTTGATTTTTAGACATTTTTCCCCTTTTACTATTTACTCATATTTCAAAGCTCTAAAAAGTTAAATTAAAATTTATTCAAGTTTCAAGTGTATTAAACTCTCGTTTATTTTCACTAATTTTAAGTCAAATGAACCTTTATGTAATTACCTTGAAATGTCCTCGAAAAAAACCTTGGCAAAAGCCTTAATAATATTCCTTTACCAAGACTCCAAAAACTAATCAACTTAGAGAACTCAATACTCTCTCGTTGACGTTTCATTTATTACCCCCTATTAGCAACTTCATTAGGTCAGTGCTTTCTTTGTCATAATCACATTTCACAAGAGTCAATTAATTGTTCGATATTAATTGTTTTAATTGCATAAACGCGGGTCCGGATTCCAAGCCCTTTACTGGTGTCTAGAACTTGTCCAAATAATAAACTTCATTTTGGAGTACTCATTTATTTTAGTCCCATATCTCACAAATTACCAAATTAAAGAAGGAAATTGTAGTATATGATCTAGTGCTTGAATTTGAAGTTCAAACTCCAGAACTAACGAGAAATTTCCTCTCTAGGGAAGAGGGGGAAAAATCACTTTGAACGACAAAAGTTTGATTAATTTGATTTCATTTTTCAGTCTGCCAATTTTTGTCGCTAATTCTGTTTTCGTTTGTACTCAAGTTTTTTGTAGAATATATGACTTCCAGATAGTCAAAGTAAAGGTAATTGAATATCGGATTTTCTTAAAGATCACCTTTGTCAAAAACACTAATTCATGTCCTCCAAAAAAAAAAAACAATAATAGAGGTATTTTTTAAGACTCACTAATTTTGTCAAAGGAGCTTTGATGGCATCGAGTTGATTTGCTTTGTGCTATCGTTCTTCTTGGAAAGAATAGAATAATAAAAATCTACTTTCTTCGGTATTGTGTTAGTGTGAAAAGGCTGGCCGAAGGAATATGGTAAATGAGAGTACAAGAAAAGAAACAAAACAGAGAGAAAGATAAAATACAAAGAATSGCGCTCGTAGAAAAATACTTCAGACAACACCAATAAACGAGAAAAAGTTCGCAACCGCAAACATACTTTAAAAATACAAGAAAATGTTATAACAATTTTTTGTTAGTAAAATAAAGCTATGTATACCAAAAGATATATAAAAAACAAAAACTCTCGGACTGTTGTGCCATAACATCCGGATTATCTTTCGATAAATTTTCACTGTAAGATTTCAGTGTGTTTTTACGCGAGAGATACCCAGAGATAGGAAACCCTTTATCTCTTGCTACTAATGGAACTAAAAACAAAGCTGTACCCGGGAGCTATACTTGTGTTACCCACACGGACGAGCTTTAGGATCTAAATTTTGAAAATAGAGAAATGCTTCAAGGAAGTATCGGAGAGTTAACACATGGCGTTTCACGCTGCGAGTCTTTAAAAGTACATAAAAACAAATGATGTAGTACAAATATTTTGAAATGGGGTTTTAAGTACTTTATTTCGGTACCGTTATAATGTTATGTGCTTCATCTTGTTTGAAAAACTTGGTAAAGTTAAGACGAAAAGTTAGTGTTAGATTGTATTAATGTGTGTGTGTGTGTGTTCTCTAAAAAGCAAGCATTTTGAAGCACGCAAGGATGGATAGTGTTTTTAGTTCCCACTGCGAACCAACACACAAAATAATGGCGGAAGAACTTAAGTGGTTTTTTTCTCCTAAAAAAAACATTTGCGGAACTCACAACCCGCCTCGCGTGATCGCTAACACAAAATACTGTTAGAGTAAAAGTTTTAAAGTGTTTTAAAATCATTTATTTCTCATCAAAATTACTCGTTGTAGGGGGTTTGTGGTGATAAATATCTTAAAAAGTGGGACCAGAAAACCTAGCTCAGAAATGCAATGTAGTAATAGCATGTAAAATGAGAAAGAAAACCTACCTTACCAGAAAAAAGAAGAAAAAAAGAAGAAGGAGAAGGAAAAGATCATAGAGTGACGATAAAAACACTACGAGAATAACTATCAGAACAAGTAAATTTCAAAATTCTAAGCAAGAGAATTTAAGACAAAAAAAAAAAAAAAAAAAAAAAAAAAAACAAGAAAAAGAAGAAGAAAAAAGAAACATATATTGAAAAGATAGAAAGACGGTCCAGGGAATGTTGACAAAAAAGCATTAAAATAATTAAGATGAAGATCATAGTTGACATTTTAGCATCTCGAAATTAAAATGAAATTCAGTTCATCTTGAGGTGAGACTGTGGCTCCAGCATGTATTGTTTCCACTACTTCCTTCCGAGGCCCAAACTTCACAGTCAATTCATCAACAAAGTGTTTAAGGCAATTTGTCAAAAGGAAGCGATAGACGCTGCTCAATAGTTTAGTTACACTAACGGCTTTTCACCACTCGAGGCAACACCGCGGTTCCGTTGTCTCATTTTCGTACGAGGAAACAAACTTGGAAAATAGAAAAGTTCAGGTTTTGAATAACTACCTCAGCTGTCATTGTGTGGAGTATATTAGTACTTATATTTAAACGGAGATATTATATGGTCTATTTCCTGGAGATATTGAATTGACGTTGATGTGAAATGTTATTAGATAGAGGACACTCGAAACTCTTTAACATTCGGGAACAACGGAAACCTCTGATTTAAGGGAGTACGCTAGCACAAAAGCCATGAAAACATCTATTCGAAATACGAAAAGATTTAAAAAAAAAGAAATTCAAATTGATTCGAATATTTAATTCATAGTTTTAATAATGGTTTTGGAAATCGTGAAAAGTATTTGCATTGTTTTAAAATGAATTTTTTATTACTGAAGATAATATTTATATAATTTATATAATATATATCTTTAATTTATATATTATTAAATCTTGTTGTTATTATTATTATTATTATTATTATTATTATTATTATTATTATTATTAGAACATGATAGTTTTTGAACAAAATATGAACTCAAACATTGAAATTGAAGGAAATGAAACGGAATGCGATAACTCTCAGTGATGAGACAAAACAAGCTACGAAAAAATACTGATAAATCGTATGAAAGAAAGTTATATTCGAGACGGCAAAAAAATATACGGAAACACAATTAATATTTCAATATAATAATATTTATTTGTCGAAGAAAAATTATTCTTATTATGAATAAAGGTGGATATTTGTTCTAATGGGCTCCCTGTGTTGAAAGATTGCGATCTTTGCCCACCACAAGAAACCCAAATACGATAATGTTTAGGCTCCAATACCAAATTTTAATACGATACATATCTCTTTCCTTTTGGCAAGATGTGCGCGATAAACTAAACGGTGCGCATCAGTTTGTATACAAAGACTGGGATCGCAAAATCGCTGAACATATCAATCCGGGATGTCGCAAATTCCCAAGACCGCTGACCCTTTTAATCCGAAGACGTCGAAAATCCACAAGACCGCTGACCATATCAATAAAAGATGCCAATAAATCCACAAGACCGCTGACCATATCAGTCCAAGATGTCGAAAGTTCTCCATGATAATAAAATGATGATAAAATGACGATAAAAGGTAATAAGGCAAATGAGATTTGGAAAATAAAATGAAAATGGTGCTAAAAAGAGATTTGGAATGACAAGGGAAAAATGTGAGTAAAAGGGAGTCAGAAGTGGATGAGAATGGAAAGAACGGGAAACGGGAAGTAGGATAAACTTATTCCAATTTAATCATATTTTTTTGGGGAGAAAAAAACCCGGGAATTTGGGTATCTCTTGAGTCAGCTGCCTTTAGTGTTAACATTCAGATGGTTCACAAAGGTAAACAGGCGCAACGTGATAACAAATCATCAAGTTTTACATTTTGATTTTGGTCTTATCAAAAGTTCACCTTGATAATTACCTCTGCTGATGAGGTCGTTTATACAAATATACCTTAACTGGTCGTGTGTTTACGAAGGGATCTTACCAAGGAATTACTAAGAACCATAACATAATTCCCTGATATATTTACACAATGTCTTTAAAGTTAATCTGTAAACCATTCCAAATCCAGGCCAAATTAGAATCAAAGTAAAACAAACACTTGGATATTACTATTATTGTTATTATTATCAGCAGTAAACACGTTTGAATGCTAATTAGGTAAGCTAGATAGGGCGTAATTTCGTAACCTACCAGCATGACAGGATTAATAATATATACAATCACTTAAAACCAATTATTAATGTTCTTAAGATGCAGTTTAATTGGAATGTTTGAAATGTCCTTAAGATGTGATTAATTTAAATGTTCTTGCAATGTTCACTGTGCAGCTTAATACCGCTTTCTGCATTCT